TCTCTATCTCATAGACTTGTCCCTGATCCGGAACTAGTACCAGAACCCAAACCCAAACCAGAACCAGAACCGGTCCAATCTGCAATATCTCTCCTAGAAAATAAATACTATTTAATTTTCTTCACTTGTGTGGCGATTTTGGTCCAAACTAGAAGGGGTTCGTTACATTAAAGGACTAACTTGGACCTCAGACTGACATGCTGCCAGATGTTACAAACCCTGTATGTGTCTTAGTAAAATACTAATGCAGGTGGTCGGATTCCAAGGTGATAAAAGTTCTCCACCACCTGACTGAGGGAATAGAATTAGAAGCAGAAGTTGTTGGAGAAGTAGACGAATGAGTTGCGTTGCTTCAGACTCAACTCCAAACTGACATAAGACGTCACATTTGAACATGTCACTGTAAAGCATTGTTCAAAAGCTTTTAAATCTCTGAACATCTGCAGATACTAAATATAAATGTTTTAAATGAGTCCTAAGATGATTAAAACCATTTTCCAGCTGCAAAGTAACTTGCTGGTGAAGCACACTGCATAAGAGGGAAGGCAGGAGGGTTTTCCATGTGAAATTTTCAGTTGGTCAGAGCTGAGCGAGTCAAACTGCAGCTGGTTAGCCAGCAGTTTAATATCCACTCAAATGACACAGCTGACATTAAAGCTGTACTGGATTAGTTGGAATATGGAAAGTAGTGATACAGCCTGTGTTAAAACTGAAGAAAACCTGTGGCATTAATATGCAACTAATCTTTAACATCTGTATAATCTTGTGCAGTTAAAGAGACAGACAGGCCCCAATCTCAAAAAAGGAAACCTGGGGAAAAAAACAAACAAACCCCCACTAATAATTATTATTATTATCATCATCATCATCATCATCATTATTTTATATATATATATATATATGTGTGTGTGTGTGTGTGTGTGTGTGTGTGTGTGTGTGTGTGTGTGTGTGTGTGTAGTATTTAAAATTACCATAAAACAACTTCTATTTTGACTTACATAGTGACTTAACTACTACTACTTAAAATTTTGATCAACAAAAATGACCCAATTATAGATATGTTTCAAATAATGCACAGTCAGGTCATCTGGACAGTTTCTTTTTCATAGAGACATTTCACCCTCTATCTGGAGGGCTTCATCAGTCAGAGGAGTTCCAGTAAACTGTTTCCCCACCAAGCAGTACACTCCTTACAGTAAGTGGACCAGCCAGTTTGCTGGTCATCTTATCTCCAGCAAACTGGTTGGTCCACTTAAGGAGTGTACTGTTTGGTGGAGAAACAGTTTACTGGAACTCCTCTGACTGATGAAGCCCTCCAGATAGAGGGTGAAACGTCTCTGTAAAAAATAAACTGTCCAGATAACCTGACTGAGCATTATTGGATTTGGTGCCTGGATGATTGAGCATGAACTTTGAAGATATAGATGTGTTTGTGTTTGTTGAGACTAATCAGCTGTGGTGGCCATCTTGAGTTTGGGTGACTCCAAAGGCTTGAGTTGTAGAGGAACATTCAGTTATTATTGTCATTGGCTCATCATATTGATCTAACAGACAGACAACGTAGACAACAGTTACTTCCAAAATTTCAGGTGAATATTTTACTCAATGTGTAGCACACCGAGTATGTGTTTGGGATGATGCTCACCCACATTTTAGCTCAATATTTGTAAAACTGGCTGAGCTGTAGCATTTTTTATGCTGGCAAAAATAAATGATCTGTGGCAGCCATCTTGAACTGAGTTTACTTCAAAGTTGATCTACATCTATCCAAATACTATTTTCTGAAACATTCATTCAAATCTATTTATTGGTTAGAGGGTGTCTTGTTAACAGACTAAGAGTTTACTTGTAAATCAGCAGGAGTCTACACCTGAAAACATTTCCGAAATGTATTCCTTATTTTGTGAAGAGCAAAGTCTGGTTTGTTCACAGACTTGAAACTTGTACAGGGACCATCCAGTGGGGACACATTAATGGCT